CCCCACCCCTACCGTACCCGTAGCTAGAGGTCCTTTACAATGGCGCCGCCATGTGGCCCTTCAACTACAGTGGCACTACTGCACTCAGCGATGTCGCAGACGAACCAACCACGAGTCACCACATATAGGTAAGAATTGTTTCTCCTTTACGTTTGGAATGGAATAAAATGTACGCCGTGGCCTTGAACGCCTTGAATTCATGCTCTAAAATGACCCCTCCCTCTACCGTACAAGAGCGCCACAACAGATGCAGGTTTAATTAAAGCGATGTCTACAGTCAACCCGTACATTTCTGTCAGTGGAGTGCTTCGTATTGATTTTCCCTGGGCAAAACAGCTTTAATTCACATCCAGGATAGTTTCGCCTTCAGACGCTCGCTAACACTCCTGACTTGTGTTTTCCATCAAATCAAAAAGGAGTCAAATAAAATCTGATGAAAAGGATGAGGAAAATGCAATCACTACTAACCTCTTTTCTCGTCATTTCTTTGGCTGGAGCAGTATGGGCTCCAGTCCCGAATACCACAGCACCTCCACTAGCTTCGATTCGAATAAGGCGTTCAATGTCTGGTAAGCAAGTCCTCGAATCGGAACCACATCATATGAATCTGCAATGTGCTTTTATTAGCAACCTCCACAAAGCTTGAAGACCATCACAACAAGTTCATTGCCAACTAGATATTTAGAAGCTGCTATCAGCCTCAACTCAGCTCAAATAGTCTGCATAGGAAAATCCTATGGGTTGCTGCTCCCCTACCCTATGCAAATTCCGGGGTCAACGCATGCATGTTGTTTCAAAACAAACAGCAGAACTAGATAGGACGCGTTATCAGTACACTAAACGTTCCACAAGTGAATCACTTGTGTCAATACAGCTGAACATTGCGGAAACATTGCGGGGCTCGAAAGTTCATACATATTCAAAGGCATGCTAACGTTACTGAAGACTACTGCCATCCAAAGTAAAAATTTCAAACAGCACCTAGTAAGTAAAGAAAAAGAAAGATTCCAGTGTAACCAACAACTGCTATGTATTGTATTATTCTACTACAGAAACCAATGAAGTATGAAAATGGATCACTCACCACGACTTTATGACAACTTAGCTGCCCTTTGTCTTCAACACCGGCAATTACATTATTTTTGATTAGAATTTTGTTAGCTGACTGAACACAATGACGTAATCCAATACGTATCTGAAAAGAACGCTGACAAATCACCTCAAACGAGTTATCCACCAACTATACAGAATATTGTTCGAACTTTTCTTCAAGCAAGTAGTCGTGTCTTCTCCAAGTAAGGGGAGGGGGCATTGCGGCTTGCAGCGCCCAACGCATTTAGAACACCGACCAACCTTTGTTATCAAACTTGAAAGACTAAGCCTTGTGGCTATGCGGGGCTGAGGGGCTTTCATTTTCCTCAGATTCTCTCTTCCACAGGCTTAGACCTGCGAAAACTTCCAGCCCTCAACTCACAAAGCTTATTCGCGCTCTAAAGTACAAAAACAAGTGCACGTTATACAAAT